CTCATGTGCACTTGCCATTGGGATTCGAAACCCCAAAGTTTGAAAAGTACGATGGGTACAGTGACCCTATTGCTCATCTCAAGAAATATTGCAATCAGTTGCGAGGAGCCGGAGGAAAGGAAGAACTGCTTATGGCCTATTTCGGAGAAAGTCTGGTTGGCATCGCCTCTGAGTGGTACATGGACCAAGATATATCTCGCTGGCACATCTGGGATGATCTTGCTAGAGACTTTGTCAGGCAATTCCAGTACAATATCGACATTGCTCCAGACAGAAACTCATTGACAATCTTGAAAAAGAAGTCCTCGGAGAGCTTCCGGGAGTACGCAGTTAAATGGCTCAAGCAGGCATCCAGAGTAAAGCCTCCGATGGACGAGGTCGAAATGGTCACAGTGTTCCTCCAAGCTCAGGAAATCGACTACTTCCAAAATATGATGTCTGCTATGGGTAAACCATTCGTTGAAGCTATCAAAATCAGTGAAATGGTTGAAAACGGATTGAAAATGGGTCGAATTCTAAGCCAATCCGCTATCAGAGCAACCTCCCTAACCATTCAAGGCGGGTCTGGAGGAGTATCAAAGGGCAAGAAAAAGGAAGAAACATCCATGGCAGCGTCAGGTGCAAGAAAACACCGTGCTCCCAGATCCCTTTGCTTAAAAAGAACCTCGCAGCATTATTACCCCTACCAGGACATGGCCTATGCTCCTCATCCATACGCGGTCATGAATGCTCAACCTTATGTCCGGCCTCAGCAACAAGCTAATCGGAACCAAGCTCCATTTCCTAGAGACCAGCCTCCTCACCAAAACCACCACAACCCCCGTCCTCTATAAAATAACTTCCGTCCTCGTGAACCACCCAGGAGGACAAATTTTACACCAATCGGTGAATCCTACTCCAGTCTGTTTCCAGAGCTTGTCCAAATGGGTTTGTTGCAGCCCGTGCCCCCAAATAGGCAAAATCCAGAATCACCCTCTTACCAACGGGGCACCCGATGCGCTTATCACTCAGGATCTGAGGGGCATGATATAGAAAACTGTTGGGATTTGAAAAGAGCCGTGGAAGATTTGATAGAACAGAGGAAGATAGTGCTAAGGGACGAAGATATCCCCAATGTGACCAACAACCCACTGCCAGCCCACAACAACGGGCCGATAATCGGAATGATTTGTGAGGATAAGTATTTTGACTCAACGTTGATGGCTATCATCGTCGTTGCTGATGTAGAGAGGAAACCAAAAACTTCCCCGAAGCAAGACAAAGGGGAGAAAAAGAACAAAACCGCCACACAAAATTGGAGAAGAAAATTGAAGCAGGAACTGGGGCAGCGCCCACCAAAGATATTGTTCTCTATGTCCCTCGGGGCCGCAAGGAAAAGCAGATGACTTTGAGTCCTCCCAGGAGATTTGAACTGAACAAGGCGACCCAAATGTATGTGCCCAAGGGAGCTTATGTGGTGCGGCGGCCAATTAATCCACCAAGGCTGAGTGAGCCCGTGGTTATTGGCCGCGCGCCACAGAAGCCCATGACAGATCCTACTGCAGTGCCTTGGAACTACCATAAATCAGTAGTGACGTATAAGGGCAAAGAAATATCAGGAGAGGTTCAAGGAAAATACCCTGTTGAAAAGTACTCCAATGTGGAAGAAGTGAACAACGCCACTAGAAAGCGCTTCCCATCTAAAAAACCCGTGAGTGCCGAAGAGGCGGAAGCTTTCTTTCAAAAAATGAAAATGGCGGATTACGAAGTGATTGACCAGCTTCGAAAGTTTCCTGAACAAATATCCTTGCTATCTCTGTTGATGAACTCCCCCGAACACCAGAAGGTATTAATTAAGACCCTCAATGAAGCATACGTTCCTGCTGAGACTTCTGTGGAGCAATTAGAAAGAATGGCGGAAAGATTTTTCGCAATCAACCAGATCTCCTTCAGCAAAAATGACTTGCCCCCAGAAGGGGCCACACATAACAAAGCCCTGCACTTAACAGTCAAATGTGAAGAGTACTACGTGAAAAGGGTTATGGTGTACGGAGGCTCTGGGGTGGACATCTGCCCACTCTCAACTCTACAGCGCATGGAAATTAGGACCGAAAGAGTTCGACCCAACAATGTCTGCGTACGAGCCTTTGATGGTATAAAAAGGGACACGATTGGAGAGATCGATCTAGTTCTGACCATCGGCCCTGTAGACTTTGAAGTGACCTTCCAAGTTCTAGACATGGACACATCATACAACTTTCTTCTGGGGAGGCCATGGATCCATGCAGCAGGGGTTGTACCCTCCACTCTTCATCAAATGGTAAAATTCGAGAATGAGGATCAAGAGATCGTGGTCCACGGGGAGGACGAGCAATCAATTTATCGAGACCCATCAGTCCCATGCCTCGAAGCAAGAGAAGGAAGTGAGCACATAGTTTATCAGGCCTTTGAAGTTGTGGTGGCAGACCAGTACGAAGAGGGAAACCCTTGCCCCCAACCCTTCCTTTCCAATTCATCAATCATGGTGGCCAAAGAAATGATCCGACATAGTTTCAAACCGGGGAAGGGACTTGGGAAATCCCTGCAAGGAATAGCTGAACCAGTTACCCTGCCTGCCACTGAAAAGTTCTTCGGGGTAGGCTTCCGACCTACTTCAGATGATATAAAATGGGCAGACGACAAAAAGAATGATGGATGGGTTTTGCCTCAACCACTGCCGCATCTGTACGAGACATTTGTCAAGCCAAAATACAATGAAGAAGAGGAGGATGATGCCTTTACGGCCGAAGAGATTGAAGAGATCTGTAGGGCAATGAGGAATATGCTATATGAAACCCACATGGTCCAGCCAGGAGAGGGCTCAAGCACCGCTGAGGTGCTGTATATGGGACCAAACGCCAAGCTGCAGAATTGGAAGACTACGCCATTCGTAATCTGGCGGGAATCCCGGTAGACCTGTCCTGCCACTTTTTCTGCATCGCGAGTTATTCCAGGGTGTAAATCGGGTGTTTTCTTTAGTTTCTTGTCTTTTAATTTCCAAATGTAAACCCTGTTATCTTCAAATTCCAAGAAATGAAATCAATATTTCATCGTTCATCTTTCTTTATTCTTTCTGATTTTGCTATTTTTCTCTTTTATTTCTTTCAGTTCTAATAATGTGGCTTTAAATAACATGACATGCTTGCGAACTTCACGCCCAGATCCAAACACGCTGTCTAATTGTGAAATAATGAACCAAGAACTGGAATACGATGAAGAAGAGGCTTTTAGGTAAATAAATCGAGAATTGGAACAATTTGAGAATAAACCTAAGCCAATCTTAAATGATACTGAGCCGGTTAACTTGGGTAGTTCTAAAGAAATCAGGGAAACCAAGATAAGCATTCACACGGACGGGAAAACCCGGGATGCATTAATCCAACTCCTGTTTGAGTTCAAAGATGTGTTTGCTTGGTCGTACGACGATATGCCAAGGCTAAGTGTTGATTTGGTGGTTCATAAGTTACCGACTTACCCTTATTACCCCCCAGTCCAGCAAAAGCAAAGAAAGTTCAAAACTGATATCAGTGACAAGATCAAAGAAGAGGTCACGAAACAGTTGAAAGCAGGGATGATCCGAGTGGTTAGGTACACCACATGGCTAGCTAATGTAGTCCCAGTTCCAAAGAAAGACGGGAAGACCCGGGTGTGTGTGGATTACAGAGATTTAAATAAGGCAAGCCCCAAGGATAACTTCCCTTTGCCAAACATCCACATCCTTGTTGATAACTGCGCCAAACATGAGATACAGTCCTTCGTGGATTGTTATGCAGGATATCCCCAGGTGTTGATGGATGAAGAAGATGCCGAAAAGACAATCTTAACCACACCTTGGGGTACATACTACTACAGAGTCATGCCGTTTGGTTTGAAGAATGCTGGGGCAACTTACATGAGGGCCATGACCGCCATTTTCCATGATATGATGCATCAAGAGATAGAGGTGTATGTGGACGACGTAATCATCAAGTCCAAAACCCAAGATGACCATGTTCGAGACTTGAGAAAATTCTTCGAGCGGTTGCACAAATATGATTTGAAGCTAAACCCAGCCAAATATGCGTTTAGAGTCCCATCGGGCAAACTATCTGGCTTTATAGTCAGCCGGAGAGGTATCGAATTAGATCCAACAAAAATAAAATCTATACGAGATTTGCCTCCTCCGAGAACCAAGAAAGATGTGACGAGCTTGTTGGGCAAATTAAACTATATCAGCCGGTTCATTACTCAGTTGACATCGCCCATATTCAAATTGCTGAAGAAAGATGCAGCAATCAAATGGACGGATGAATGTCAAGAAGCTTTTGATAAGATCAAGGAATATCTGTCAAATCCGCCAGTCTTGGTCCCACCAGAGCCAGGGAGGCCTCTATTCTTGTACCTGACAGTCTTGGAATATTCTTTCGGTTGTGTCCTCGGGCAACATGATCTAATGGGAAGAAAGAACAGGCGATCTACTATCTGAGCAAGAAGTTTACCAGCTATGAAGCTAAGTATACTCTGCTGGAAAGAACTTGTTGTGCCTTAACTTGGGTCACTCAGAAGTTGAGGCATTATCTGCAAGCCTACACCACTTACCTCATAACCAGGTTGGATCCTTTGAAATATAGATTCCAGAAACCAATGCCCACAGGGAGATTAGCAAAATGGCAGATCCTACTCACTGAATTTGACATAGTCTACGTCACTCGCACGGCAATTAAAGCCCAAGCGCTGGAAGATCATTTGGCTAAGAACCCGGTTGATGAAGAATACCAACCTTTGAACACTACCCGGATGAAGAAGTAAACTCAGCCGAAGCAATATCCGACGATACCACTGCTTGGAAGATGTTCTTTGATGGAGCGATAAATGTAAAAGGTGTTGGAATTGGGGCAGTCTTGATCTCACCCACTAGTCAGCACTATCCAGCCACAACCAGGCTTCGGTTTTTCTGAACAAACAACACTGCTGAGTATGAAGCCTGCATTATGGGTATGAACATGGCAACCAACCAAGATGTCGAAGAGTTGTTGATTATGGGAGACTTAGATCTGATTATCCGGAAAGCCCAGGGAGAATGGGAAACCCGAGATGTTAAACTTATTCCCTATCGGCAACATGTGGAAAATCTTAGCAAGCGGTTCAGGTCAATAGAGTTCAAGTACATCCCTCGTTTTCACAACGAACTAGCTGATGCACTCGCCACTTTGGCCTCGATGTTGCCCTACCCGGGCAATGCCCACATTAATCCCTTGGAAATCCAAATCAAGGAAAGACACGGTTACTGTAATACGGTTGAGGCAGAACCAAAAACCCAGCCATGGTACTATGACATTAAAAGGTTTCCAAAAACGCAAGAATACCCCGAGCAAGCCAATGGAGACCAAAAGAGAACCATTAGACGACATGCAAGTGGTTTCTTCTTAAGTGGTGATGTCTTGTACAAAAGGACCCCGGATCTCAACTTGTTAAGATGTGTTGACGCCGAAGAGGCCGGAAGGATCATGCATGAAGTACACGCAGGAGTGTGCGGACCCCACATGAACAGGTATGTTTTAGCAAAGAAAATCCTTCGAGCGGGCTATTACTGGATAACCATGGAAAAGGACTGCTTCAGTTTTGTTCGGAAGTGCCATCAGTGTCAGGTGCACGGTGATTTGATTCATGCACCTCCCACAGAACTACATCCCATGTCAGCACCTTGGCCATTTGTTGCTTGGGGCATGGACGTCATAGGGCCGATCGAGCCGAAAGCCTCAAATGGGCACAGATTCATACTGGTTTCCATTGACTACTTCGCAAAGTGGGTTGAAGCCATCACTCTCAAATCGGTCACCAAGAAAGCTGTGGTAGATTTTGTGCACTCCAATCTTATCTGCCGTTTTGGCATTCCTGCAACTATCATCACAGATAATGCTGCAAACCTGAATAGTCATTTGATGGGAAAGATATGCGAGCAATTCAAAATAACACATAGGAACTCTACTCCCTACCGGCCCAAAGCCAATGGTGTTGTTGAAGCAGCAAACAAGAACATCAAGAAGATCTTGAGAAAAATGATTCAGAGCTCCAGGCAATGGCATGAAAAGTTGCCTTTCGCATTACTGGGATATCTCACTACGGTGCGCACATCGGTAGGAGCAACCCCATACCTTTTGGTCTATGGCACTGAGGCCGTGATACCCGCGGAGGTGGAAATCCATTCTCTCCGGATCATCGTTGAGGACGAGATTGAGGACAGTGAGTGGGTCAAGACTCGTCTGGAACAGCTGACCTTAATTGATGAAAAGCGTATGGCTGTGGTCTGCCACGGGCAGTTGTACATACAATGAATGGCCCGTGCTTATAACAAGAAAGTGCGGCCCAGGAATTTCGAAGTGGGACAACTTGTGTTAAGGCGCATTTTCCCTCATCATCAGGAAGCAAAAGGAAAATTACCTCCTAATTGGAAGGGCCCATACATCATCAGAAAGATATTGCCGAGAGGAGCATTGTATCTGGGAGATATCGAAGGAAATGATCCCGAAGCAGCTGTGAATGCGGATGTAGTAAAAAGGTACTATGTCTAGGCTTTCTGCAGCAATGACTTTGTTCAATTAGGATGATGAAGGCTTTCATTCTTGCTATCCAAACACTATCCATCTTTTGCAAATCCTTTGAGCTGGTTACTCTTCCTTGATTACCATCTTTGGAACCCGAAAGTACTATTGAAAAAAAAATGAAAATGAAAATGAGAAGATGAATGGAAAAAAAATGATGAAAAATAAGGCAAAAAAAAACAACAAAAAGAAAACAACAACACAAAGTTTTCCTGAACTACGTTCGACTTGATTCCGAAAGGATCGGTAGGCAGCCTCTCTCTGGGGTTCAGTCACACCAAAACAAAAATCTCAATTTTTTCCAAAAGTGAAATTGGGGAAGATGATATAATGGCTCGGCAATGAGCCCACCAGAATGGTTCCACAATTGTAATACCATCCAGATTCTCTTTACCCAAACCTTGTCCAAGTCCTTATGATCAATTGGCAAAGGCATTGGAATCGGAAAACACCATTGTTGGAATCTGATACAATCAAACTGAGAGAAATAAAATGAGAGAGTCTTATCGGTGAAAACCTACGGGCACCATAAGGCGACGGTGAGCAGAGAAATTGAAAATGAGAGAGCCCGTTTAGTGAAAACCTGTAAAGAGCATTATCGGGCGACGGTGTCACAACCTTAAACCCGGACCCGATCATGATGGTGCCTCTCGTGAAGATGAGGCAAGCCAATTAATCCAACTTATCTTTTTAGAATAGTTAACATTAATAAGCAGCTTTAATATGATTAAGTAACCACAGTCTATTAAATGATCTCTTTAATAAGTGCAGAATAAAATCCAAACACAGCCCAAACCGGGGTGTCACAAGTCACGAGCATCTATCAAAGTATAAATACAACTACAAGACCTAAAATATACAAAGATGGAATAATGAACCAACAGAGAGAAAAATGGTGCTGCGAACGCAGGCAGTCACCTCGCTACTCCTATAGCTCTGCTTCTGATCAGCCAAAACCCGCTACCGGATGAACAAATACCTACATCTCCACGCGAGGTGCAGGGAGTAAAGTGAGTACTCCAACTCAGTGAGTAATAAGGGTAAATAACAACTGAGCAGTAAGAAATCACGTAAAGCAAACCATCATGCTATATAGGGACAGTGAGAAACCCTTTGAGAGAAAGCAGTGAGCTGTAAAACCTTTAGAAATATCTTAGCTCAGTTTAAAACCTCCTTTGAAAATGACTTTTTCACCAATTATGCAATTGAATACAAAACAAATAGTGCAGATAAGCACAGAAGTTCGCATCTCGGGCACCACACTCGGTTATCAGTTAATACTAGAGCAACAGGTAAATATTGCAAGAAGTAGCACAAACAGCATATAATGGCAGACAATGAAATAAGGTAAACATATCAAACAGTACCGGTACCGTTGCAGCGTGCAGCCCGCTCCACATATCGCTGCGGCGTGCAACCCGCTCCATTTATCGTCGACAGCGCTCACTGGGGGTGTGCAGACCCCGGGAGGGGCCCCTTACGGCCCAAGCGCAATATCAAGCCATCTCGTGGCATCAAAATAGGCCCTCAGCCTCATATCAATAACAGTATAACAGTGCTGCGGCGCGTAGCCCGATCCATAAGTATCTTCACAATACAGGCCCTCGGCCTTACTCAGTCAACAAAATCACATAAGCCACCCGGGCAACAATAAAACAGTGTTTTCTCAGCCCAAAACATCATTTAAATATCATTTAAGTATCTTCACAATACAGCCCCTTCAGCAGCTCCAATTTTGCACCAGCGGAACCGCTTCTGTGGTCCACACTTCCGCTTCTGCGGAAACCGCCTAAGTCCCTTTTCGCTTCTGCGAGTTCCTCCTCCGCTTCTGCGTGACCCACCTGCGGTCCCATAACCGCAGGTGCAAAAATTCCTGATACCAACGGACTTAGCAACATGTAAAAATCCAAAACTCTCCGTTTAACCGTCCGAACTCACCCCGAGGCCCCCGGGACCTCAACCAAAAATACCAATACATCCTACAACGTTATTCAAACTTGTTCCAATCATAAAAACACATCCAACAACACTAAAATTATCAATTCTCATCGAATTCAAGCCTAAGTTCTTCCAAAACTTCCGAAACACGCATTCGATCAAAAACCCAACCAAATCACCTCCGAATCATCTGAAATTTTGCACACACATCCCAAATCACCTAACGAAGCTACTGCAACTCTCGGAATTCCATTCCGACCCTCCGATCAAAATCTCACCTATCAACCGGAAATCGCCAAAGTACTAACTTCGCCAATTCAAGCCTAATTCTACACCGGACCTCCAAAATCACTTCCGATCACACTCCTAAGTCACAAATCACTCCCCGAAGCTAACCGAATTATCGGAATTCATATCCGAGCCCTCTAACACAGAAGTCAACGTCCGGTTGACTTTTCCTAAACAAACCTTCCTTAAAGAGACTAAGTGTCTCATTTCCTTCTAGAACCAATCCAAATCAACACATTCACACCCAAAACTGATAATGAAGCATAAAGAAATAGAAAATGGGGGAAACGGGGCGGTAACTCACATGACGACGGGTCGGGTCATCATATCCTCCCAAACTTAAGCAAACGCTTGTCCTCGAGCGTACCCAGAGTTGTACTAGAAGCCAACCAATAGTTGAATGACCTTACCAAGCATATACCCGGGGTGATCCCACGTCACCCTATCTCGCATAGGTCAGACTACACAACATATCTAAAATTTCACAATCCATCTAGTCCATAAACCATAGAACCACAATGCACTTTCCGAAATCATACACAAGATCAGAACCTCACATCTAGACTCAGAATGAGCCCGAACCAGCTGTAATAACCCATACCTGCAACCTCAGGTGCAATCATATGATATACTACATAACCCAAACACTCGAAACGATAACCTCTATTCACAGCAGTTGCCCACAACACCCGAATACCGGTAGAAAACTTCTTATCAACTAAGGTCTTATTCCAACACTCTCATATACTGCCAACGATAAATGAAACATGCAATAAACCGTAACCATTTTCTCAGATCAACCATTCATGAAGCCACTTCCCTTTTGACTAATACACAGCAGATTCGGAGCCTAACCTCGATTTTATCCTTCCAACAAGCTGAAATCAAATCCATTCGTACTCATTAGTGACCCCAACGATCACCTCGAATCCAACACACCACTCTGGTGATATGACACCTCAATACAGGCCTAAATCACAACTTGCATAATACAAGCGCCAATAAGAAACGGTCTGAACATACTCAAATCATGAAAAATGACTTAAACGAGAGAGCTGTACCTCAAGCTCATCAGTACCATCACAACACAACTCTGAGACCCCGTCTCACATCATAGAAATAGAACACCTGAACTCTACCCCCGAAAGGTNAATCCCTGAGTTGAGCCTTTTTTGACATACGGCCTCTAATCCCTAGTCGCTTTTTGCCATAATAGGGCTCCAATCCTTGAGTTGTGCCTTCTTAGACATAGGGCCTCCACTCCCTAGTCGCCTTTTTCCAACATTATGGCTCCAATCCCTGATTTGATATTTTTAGATAAAGGGCTCCACCCCCTGATCTTTTCCCTTCTAGATAGATGCAATCCTTATTTTATTTGCTTTCAAAAAAAGAGAGAGAGAGAGAGAGAGAGAGAGAGAGAGAGAGAGAGAGAATAAGTTCAGACTTTTGTCACAAATAACTCACAAAATTTTCCTAGTGAAAACTGGGGCAG